AGAATCCAATGTTGCAGAGGGGAGGGGGCCGTTGAGCTGGGTTCATTTGGATGAGGATGAACGGGACGACCTTGCAGCTTTCCTATCTGCCAGTCCTTTTCAACAGAAAGACAAAGTGGTCACAATTCCTTCAGCAGGTGATATTGAAGTGGGCAGCAATGCAGCAAGGATGAAAATGATATATCAACTGACAGCTCCAAGGATTCAGCTGGTTCCACGGATTTGATTTCAGCAAGAGCAAAGGAAGATTTGCATCGTGGGCACAGAAGAGCAGCTAGTGCCAGTGCTGATATAGGCTCATGGAGCATGTCAATTCCTAACGAATGTGAAGGAACTACAGAACAATTATCTGATGGCTCAGACAAAATGCCTTTGCTCAAGATAGTGAAAACATGTGCTTTGGACGAGTACCGTGCAACCTAAGCCTAGAACGAAGTGTAAAAATGGAGCTGTTAGGTGGGCAGGCGTTAACCAACAGGATGTTGAAGAGGCTATCCCTCTGAGTACTTCTCAGTTGAGTCAGGTAAATGGATCTTACTCAAATGATGCAAAGATGATTTGTTCTGTAGCTCTCTCTTTGGTTATATCTTAGTGCTCTAACCTTTGTATTCCTGTTCCTCATTGTAGGGTTTAGAGGGATGCTTTGAAAGGAACAAGAGTTGCTTAAGTTCCTGTGATGAGCATACATACAATAAGAAGCTTTATGGTTGGCTCGGAGCCCTTCATAGACAACTTCAAAGATCTCAGTATCAGATTCGATATGGGCATCCTATTCAATTGATTCTTTTGGCACTTGCTGCTCTTGTAATCAGTAAGTCTGTTTACCATGTCTGTTTTTTTTTTAAATTTTGTTTCTGTCCCAATAAAAAAATATCTGTAGATGTTTGAGTAACCTATACCAATAGTCATCTTGTATTCTTGTTCACGTGCTATCAATTTGTTCATTCTGAATATGTTTATTACTTAATTAACTAGAGCCATTGGTGAATAATCTTGCGGAGTGTTTTGTTTCATATTTCTTGGCTAAGTATTTATCACTGGTGTGATTGTATATACTGAATAGTGTCCTTTCAATATATACTGAGTACGGACACATGCGGTGTAGCTTTTTTTTACTGTCTTTTTACACACATTTGTTACCTTTTTCATAGCACTTACATCCATATTGAATCTTTGTTATCAAATTTGTATCTTATATCGTGACCTGACCCATTTTCTGTTACCTTGTCAGTTATCCTTAACTGTTGCACAACTTTGTGTTTTTCCCATTGCATATGTATTTATCATTTCTTTTGCTTTGCAGTTGTATGCATAGTGAGGACAATCTGGTGACTATATTTGTTGGCTCAGGATTGGATTTCTAGCCTCACAAGATCAGCAGCTTGTATGGTAAATTCACTGGCAGTTAAGTTACTTTTGGTCGACTGGATCCTGAGGCATGCACATGTGGCAACTATGGCAGAACATTTTGGTAATCAAGGTTGAAAGGCATGTATAGTGATCTGGTTGGGACAATCTTGCCACATGTTCGGGGCAGTCTGCTTCGTCCTTGGAAGGACATCTTCAGGGCAATCCTTGCATCAAGATTGCTTCTGTCATACTTGGATATTCTGAATGGTGCCCTGAACACTTGATGCACCTCGAGAACTCAATCCTCCGTGGTGGCTGGTTGGCACCTATGTACTGTAATGGTCCCAGCATAAATTATTGGTGCAGTGGGCTGGTGATCATGCTGCTAGCAACCGAAATTGCAAGACTTGTATCATTCATCAATGCTATTGCTTTTACTGCCTGACACGGAAGGGTGGTGAATTTTTGTAGGAGTTGCCATCTGAACTGTAGAGCTCCATAGGGGGTAGGTTCTGATCGGAATGTAAAAGGCACTAGAAAATTACTTTACTGTATCTGCTTGTATTGTCACACCTACAACCCAATGAGGAGCCTGGCAGCCTAGTCTGTACTCTGTACCCTGTACACTGAAATTAGAGAATGTTGAAGTCCCCGGCAGTAATCGGCTGGAGTTGTAAGGTGGCAGTTTGTGTTGATTGTGTAGAACCTGCATTACGGCTAAATTCAGTGAAGAAATGTAGCACTTTACTGTGCATGCTAATGTATTTGCCCCAACCAATCTTGATATTCCAAACTCCGAAGGAAAGCATTTTTGGTCGAGTGTTTATGAGAAATCATGCAAAGGCTCTTATTCCCCGCAGCTTCTGTAGCATAACTGGGAGCTTCTGCGTGGACTCACAAAAGGAAGCTCGCCGTCGCCGCCTGTCCACTGCGTCCATCGCTGCCGTCAGCAAAGGTGCTCCGGGCACGACAGTCGACAGTTCTGGCCGCCCAGTTCTCGTTCTTTAGCCTCTTGCAATCTTTTTCCCCATCTTTCATTTTTCACCCACCGGAGCCGGCAGCAGCTGAAATCCAGCGCACGGTTGTCAGCTGGCGGAGCACACCAAAGCTCTCCTGTTCCTGTAGCATCGGCACTTCGGCAGGAGATACAACCCCGTTGCTGCATCCTCACTAGTCACGATCGTCCCCTAGCATTCGGCAAATGGTGAGCTCCCGCCTGGTCTCGAGCAATATCGAGCTCAGGCCGCGTAACTCTGTGCTGGAGCCGGCTAGGCTACGGTGTGTTGACGAGACCAACTGCTAGCGTTGGATTATCCATTGGCGGAGTGAACAGATCGACTGGCTCTGAGCCTTTGACGTTCGACCGAATGCTTCGAATTCCAGAATTCCGGTAAAAAGGGTTTAAAAATCAGTTCAGAGAGAAATATAAAGCTGATGCTACTGACATCGACTCATTGAGCCATTCAGCTCAGTATTTTGTAGAGCATTTTTATCTGCATCATAGCAGTGCTTCTTGCGTTTTAATTTACTCAATTTCTTTGCATTATTGGCTCATCATTTTATACGGTTCTGAAATAGCAAAGTCATGGGGTGTTTTCTAAGCTGTACTATCAGCCACCACTCACGCACAACACCATAAACCTCTTTGAGCGACACAACACATAACACAAAATATTCAAGATATTAGAAATGACATGTTGCCATAGGAGCACCGGATTAACTGGGATGCCCACAACAGCGAATTATACAACAGTTCAACTCCATGGTGGTTATAGTCTTTATTTCCAACTAAGGGTTTGCCATCAGGATCGTGACCGTATATTTGTTCGACAGTATGGGCAGTCTGCACATTTCCGCACCCATGGCTCCAAGCATGTTGAGTGGAACCTGTGGCCACAGCGCAACCTTATCAGCTCATCTCCATCGTAAAATCCATCAAGGCAAATAGAACATTCTGGTGATGCCTCTCTCTTATCATCTTTGCTAGCCTCAAAAATCTCAATCTGTAGACGCAGGAAAGCCGCCTTGCTAAGTCCAGCTGACCGGTTGGAGTTACTGGAACTGATGGTTGGTCTTTCTTCATCTGATTCACTGCTCGGGTGGAACGATGATGAGTGGGGCCGATTTGCCTCGTGCCGGGTTTCCCTATTTCTGAAGTCGATGATTCTAAACACATCGCTAGCAGAAAATTCATCCAATGAGATGGATTGCCTAGAGGCAGATGAACCTAGAGAAATGCCTCTGAGTCTCTCTAGGACACGTGCTTGTGCTTGCAGTACAGCACCAGGAAGCCGCTCATTTGTCCTGAACATCAGCCTATCAAGTCTGTTCCTCCGAGCTGCAGAATCCCCAATGTTGTTATTGTCTATGTACGATAAGATCTGATCCTGCAGACAGCAAAACAGAGAGATATTATCATTTGATGACCTATCACAAACAATCAGGATGAAAATGGTAGCCCAAGGCATGATTCCTGAAATGAAGCTGGTTTGGTATATATAACAAAAGGGCAAATAGGTGCATCGGCTTGGTCATGATTTTAAGTTACAACTACATATAGCCAACACCCCAGATTACATGGCTGATGAATCAATTATTTCAAGTGGAATTCATCAAAGGATATAAGAAACAAAGCTACTGCGCTCGATGATATGCACACAATTACACAGCATAGCAGAAAAAAAAAGTTCTAAAGTGTAGATTCCAGCTAGTCCATGACTAGGCGAGGCAATTGTTACATTTCCCATTTGTATGAAAAAAGGTTGTAACAAAAGATGCCTATTTCATAGATCAAGCCTTGCAAAAATAAAATTGCTGAGGTAATTAAGAAAACTGCAAATAACTATATCTCATAAAAATATAACCACAGCTAGCAACGAACCTGCGCCATCTAGGAAACCTTTGACTGATGGTAGGGCTACAATCGCACAAAAGGCGGTCAAGACTACAAGCCCAACCACAGCTACTACAATGAACAAGGCTCATTTCAACTCTTTGTGCAACATGGCAATGCCAGTGGGATTATGAAGCTTGGTTCAGAATCTCAGATAGGATTACAATCCGATATATTTCACCAATTAGTACATTGAAGTTTAAACTTGGTATGACAAAAAAAAAAAAAAAAAAGTGCAACCCCAGTAACAAGTGCAATTGCGTAAATCCCTATTGGTATCCATTTCCCGAGCTATGTAATCATGATAATAAAATCAGGATTTCAAAGTCATCATTGAATTTCGCGCGGGCCAAAACCTAATAGTGACCACGAATTGTATAAGCCAACGCCGGAGATACTCCGATCCAGCCACAACACTGATAAGACAATAATCAAGCGGGAGGAAGATTGGGGCGAGGATTCTCACGGTGTACGACCCGCGGCGACGCGGTGGCGGGGCCCCAGTGTGCAGGTGCTGGCGTACGTCCCCGGCGGCGTCGAGCTGGCGTCGCGGGCGGCACCCGCAGCGCCGGCGCCGGCCGCCGAGTCCATGCTGGTCCCGGAGCGCGTCGGCGTGCGGATCCGGGTCGGGTCGGGATCGAGAGGCGGCCCCACGGGCGGCGCGGCGCGCGGTGAAGAGCTCGGAGGCGCTCGTCATGGCGGTACCGGATGAGGCGCGCGTGGCGGTGTGACCTGCGCCAGCGCGAGACAGAGATTTGGGTTCGGTGGATTGGATTAAGTTTCAGTGCCCTTTTTTAATGCAGCGGCCGCCTGCCCGCTGCCCCATCTGCTCCTTGCTTGTTTTGGGGTGAGAGGGGAGGAGGAGACGAGTGGAGAAGCTGCGAGGAGGCACCGTGATGTGGCGTGGCGTGGCGTCTGGCGTGGGACGGACGACGGAGGCCAAGACCGGTGGACTAGACGGTGATGGCGACGGGTGCCCGCGCTGGATTGGAAATTTCAGGTGATTGGGAGTTTCGTCGTCGACCGGTCATGGCCGGCCGTTCACGCTTCAGGGGACGGCAACCGGCAAGACAGGCATTCCGCATGATCTGGGCCCATCTGTTTCGCTGGCCCTTCGGCCCGTACTGAACGGGCCGTGACCCGACATCATCCCTGCCCCCTGCAGAAAGCTATCAAAGTCCAAACCGAGGTTGCCTTGCCAGCTGATCGACCGTGTCAGCCTGTCAGGCCCAATTCCAATTGGACGGTCGATCGCCCGTTTCGAATCGCGTGAACGATCGCGCAGTCGTCCGTGTCGTTGGCTCCCTCACCCGCCCATTTCCTAGCTGTGACGTCACTGTTGACCTAGAAAAAAAAAATAGCAAAGCATTTATATTAAAATGCTATAACTTCTGAATGGTGTATCTATTTTCAATTCCGTCTATACCGATGTGTTCTACGTGATGAAATGAACAAAACTAGACCCCACTTACATAGGTTTTGAAGATTTTATTTTCTAGAACCAATTTATGTATATTAACTTATACGATAGAACTTATAACTTTTTGTATATAAGTTGTGTTTGAGTTTTTTTTAAAATTTCTACTTTTTTTTTTTTCTTTGCCTTTTAAATTTTTATACATTAACTTATGTATTTTACATGCTAGTATATGATTCATATACTAGTTGTACACATATAATATAAATTTCTCAACCATGCTTTTTATATTTCTGCTAATATATTATGAGATTAATTTTGCACATCTAAGTTCTTCATCAAGTTATATATCTAAGTTATACAAACAAGTTATTATAATATAAGTTATCAATGTTGAGTTGTACATACAAGTTTGTTCATCTAACTTATAAATTTTACAAATAAGTTATTATAATATAAGTTATCAATGTTGACTTGTACATACATGTTTGTTCATCTATATCTTATAAATCTAACTTTTTACATGTAGGCCATCTAATTTTATCACGTAGGAAGTTATATGTATAAGTCATGTGCATAACTTATCATATAAAGTTACATGTAAAAGTTATTCGTTTAAGTTATGAAATTCTTTGAAACATATGTAAGCGGCAAGTCAAGTTTTGTTAGATCAAATCGAGTAGAAACCTTTTGGTGCGAGACAGAATTAAAAGCGGATACACAGTTTAGAAGTTATAGCAATTTTAAATAAAATATTTTACTTTTTTTTGCTGTGTCAGCGCTGACATAAGTATGCAGAGGGTGAGCGCGCAGCCGAGACGCCAAAAGAGAATGACTAAGCACGCCCCCCGCCATCCAAAACAGAAAAAATGTAAAACTATTTTTTCTTAAAAGAGGAAACAAATGCATGTTGGAAATTGGTTCGCCAAATTTAATTCTAACGAACGTTCGCTATTTAGTCCGACCGCCTGTCAGGCATGCATACAGCGTAGTACAGTACGAAGCGAAGTGACGCACGGCTCAGTGCCTCAGTGGCCCCATGCAGCGCAAGACAAGTCTCCGGAAAGCGACGGCAGAAAAGGTAAGGGATTTTCAGCTACTACGCTCCAAAGGAACAATCCCCCGGATTGGTCGGGCTCCTCTATCGGTCTATCCGCTTCATTTTATCCATCATCGACGGCAGTCGTGCGATGGCGCCATTGTGTGGCTTCCGGCCGCCGAGGCCACTGTGGAAGGGCGGAAGGCAGCCGCGGCTCGAGCGCGATCCAGAAGCCGGCGCACCTGCGTCACTCGCTCTCCCGCACTGCCGCGATCTCCTCTGACGTCGACGTCACCCGGGATGACACAGAGGGAAGGGGTGGAGCGGAAGAGGTGAACAGGCTGCTCGGTGACTTTTGTGAGGGCCGCCAGATGGAGGAGAGCCGGCTCGACACGCCGGCGATGAGGAGAATCAGTGACTGGTATACGTTCCTTCTCCTCCTCCCCTGCTGCTTATCCTTGCTTTACTTTCCATTGGCATGTTGTTGTTGCTGTTTCGCATTTGATTCGACGAGTTCGTGTTCGATTGTTGGTATCAACACTCCCTAACCATCGCTGACAGCTTGTTCGGATCGATTTTGAACTGAAAATTTGGTTAATGCGAGGGGCTAAAACAACCGGTTGTTGACTAGACACACTTGAAAACAAACAGCAACTGCCATCAAGCTAGCAACACGTGACTGTGCTTTCAGATCTCACATCGTACTCACTGAATCGTTCGCGAAGCCAAACCCTGCAAATGGAGTTTATCAAAAGGAAAGTTTTGCCGAGTTTGAAGCTCTTGTTTCTCTTTGCTTGTTGCAGGATAATGTCACAAGAATTCCCAAGCGATATAACCATCCAGGTTGGGGAGGCGACCTTCAACTTACACAAGGTAAATAATACTCCGTTGACACTATGTAAGAAGAAGATTCTCCGTCACATCAAACTTGCGGTACATGCATGGAGTACTAAATGTTGATGAAATCAAAAACTAATTGCACAGTTTGGTTGTACTTTGCAAGACGAACGTTTTGAGCCTAATTAGTCGACAATTGAACAATTATTACCGAATACAAACAAAACACTACAGTGTCCCTGAATTCTGGCGGCGCCAAATCGGTGGCCAACTAAACATGGCCTACATATGAATCACAGCGCTTCCATATCATAGCTTTCCATGCGTGTTCTTGGGATCATCGATCGTATAGAAAGCTTGGGTTCTGAGTTCTGACTAGCGGTTCCAACGCTGCCGCAGCTCCCGTTGGCATCGAGGTGCGGCTACATAAGGAAGCAGGTGTCGGGGATCAATGGCTCCAGGGTCACCCACATCGACCTTACGGGCATGCCGGGCGGCGCCGCGGCGTTCGAGCTCGTCACCAAGTTCTGCTACGGCGAGAACTTCGAGATCACGGAGGGCAACGTCGCCATGCTGCGGTGCGCCGCCGAGCACTTGGAGATGACCGACAACAGCATGGGCGGGAACCTGGCCGCCAGGACGGAGGCCTACCTGGAGGGCGTGGCGCTGATGAGCCTCGCGGGCGCGGTCACCGTGCTCCGGAGGTCGGAGGATCTCCTCCCGGTGTCCGAGGATGTGGACCTCGTCGGCAGGTGCGTCGACGCCATCGCGTACATCACCTGCAGCGACAGCCAGTTCAACATGTCCATGGGCAACACCACCAACGGTAACGGCATGGCCGTGTCGTCGTCCAAGGCCGTCGATGACTGGTTGGCTGACGAGCTGACGTCGCTGCGGATTGACACGTTCCAGAGAGTCCTCATTGCCATGAAGGCGAGGGGGTTCAAGGGCATTGCTCTGGGCACGCTCATCATGCTCTATGCTCAGAAGTCGCTGCGAAGACTGGTGAGCTCAACTCCTGCGCAATATATCTACAAGTACAGGAAGATTTGGTACATGATCACCACCTGACAAATTTCTGAGCTTGTGTGTTGCAGGACACACACGGAAGGGAGAAGAAAAAGATGGACCCGAAGCAGGAACACGAGAAGCGTGTGGTGCTTGAGACCATCGTGACTCTGCTGCCCAAGGAGAAGAACTCCATGTCCGTGAGCTTCCTCTCGATGCTGCTTCGGTCAGCGCTGTACCTGGACACGACCCTGGCGTGCCGGCTCGACCTCGAGAAGCGGATGGCCGCGCAGCTGGGGCAGGCCGTGCTGGACGACCTCCTGATCCCGTCCTCCTCGCCCGAGGCCGGCACCACGTTCGACGTCGACGCGGTCCAGAGGATCCTGGTCGGGTACCTGGAGCACGAGGCCGAGGCGGCCCTGCTGGACTACAACACCGACGACGACTTCATCTCGACGGCGTCGCCGCCCAACGACGTCGGAATGGTCGGCAAGCTCATGGAGTCGTACCTGGCCGAGATCGCGTCGGACGTGAACTTGCCCATTGACAAGTTCACCGACCTCGCCGAGATGATCCCGGAACGCGCCAGGTTTAACGAGGACGGCATGTACCGTGCCATCGACATCTACTTGAAGGTGAGAAATTAAACACAGAGATCTTAATTGTTTTTTTACTGCCATATTGGTTATGGGTTTTTCCTCAACTAGATGATCGTTCACTGTGGACTATGGATTCCTGCATGCAGGCGCATCCGCATCTGAGCGAGGCCGAGCGGAAGAAGGTGTGCCGGGTGATGGACTGCCAGAAGCTGTCGCGCGAGGCGTGCGCGCACGCGGCGCAGAACGATCGGCTGCCAGTGCAGACGGTGGTGCAGGTTCTCTACCACGAGCAGCGGCGCCTGCGCGAGGCCCCTAAGCACGCGCCGCCGCCGAGCGGCGTGTCGTCGTTCTACGGCGGCGAGTCCCTGGCCCCGTCGCCGCCATACAGGCCGGCGCCGACGCCGAGCCTCCTGGGCCGGCACGCCCGGAGCGTACCGGACGAGGTGTCGCGGCTACAGCGGGAGAACGAGGAGCTCAAGATGGAGCTGCTGCGGCTGAAGATGCACCTGAGGGACCCGCCCGCGGCGCTCCCGCAGCCCAGCGGCGCTCCACCGTCGGGGCGCCGCCCGCCGCCGAAGAAGGCCGCAGGCGGCAGCGGAGGGTTCATGAACAACGTGTCCAAGAAGCTCGGGCGGCTGAACCCGTTCCTGCGGCTTGATGCCGTGGGCACGGAGCCGCCCAAGGATCGGAGGCGGAGGCGCTCCATCGAATGGTGATTGGTGAAGTTGCCCATGCTCATGTGGCAGGCTTCTTTCGTCTTGAAATCTTCTTGACGGCTATTTCACTTGATGAACATA